GATCAGAAAGAACACAAATCACAGACACATTCTGAGGCCAGTTGATACCATTGTTCTGAGCTGTGGTTTGGTCTTCACCGAGGTGAACGGATTCTAAAAGGACCGACCGTGCGAGTTCCTTGGTGGTCCAGTGGTTAGGACTCAGCACTTTCACTACCCGGGCCTGGGTTTGGTCCCTGCTCAGGGAAGTAAAATCCTGCAAGCCATGTGGCGCAGCAAAAAAATAAAAAGAAGATGCAGAAGGACCAACCCTGAGCTCTCAGAGCCCAGAGCTTCACAGAAGGTGGGTTGTTTCCACAATGAAAAGTGCAGGAATTCTAATCGGGAAAAGGCTGTACCATTAACTATTGAAGGCGGCCGGGAAGGCCGTGTTCATGACCAGGGTGCCCTTTCCTGGACCAGCCTCCCCTGGCTGCCCCCAGCAAGATGTGGGACGGGGCCAGACGACCTGGTCCGAGGGCTGGCTTTGCCTCCAGAGCTTCCGGGTCTGTTTCCTCCCTGGTGAAGTGGGACTAATACAGGCAAGGTGTCTGATAAAAACAAAAGTGTCCCACAGTCCGTGGACCTTCTGATTGTCCCCGATGCTGGCAGATCAGGAGTTAAAGCTTTGGGAACCTCATGGTGCCCGGCACGGGGTTCTGCCTCACGGACGCTGATGCCACGTGGTACCAGGTCAGTTCTCGGGGCAGCTGTCTTAGGGCCCCAGAGCTGCTGCATCAAAGCACCACAGACTGGACAGCTTCAAAAACAAAAATTTATCCTCTCTCACTTCTGGAGACTGCAAGTCCAAGATCAAGGTGTCGGCTGGTTTGGCTCCTTCCGAGGCCTCTGTCCTTGGCCTGAAGACGGCCACCTTCTCCCCGTGTCCACACATGGTCTTCCCTCTGTGTGTCTGTGTCCCAAGCTTCTCTTTCAAGGGTACCAGTCAGATTGGATTAGGCCTCACCCATATGACCTCATTTATCTTAATTACCTCTTTGAGGGCCCTGTCGCCAAATACAGCCACATTCTGAGGTCCCAGGGTTAGGACTTCAGCGTGTGAATTTGGGGGGGACAGTTCAGTCCACGACAGCAGCTGGCCCGCTCTGCCCACCCCTACGGACACGTGGGCACACGGTCTCAGCTGAAGGAGTGAGGAGCGAGAAGGGGCAGATGCGGTGAAACCCTCCACGTTGCAGCCCCTTCTGTTCGTGGGTGCTGCCTTTGAAGCATGAGATGGGAAGTTGAAGGAGAGACACCTAAGACAAACCACGCCTCTCCACACCCTCCAGACACCGGCTAGGAGACTTTTACAATTAAGAGGAGTGTGGAAAATACAAAGCCTTGAGAGGAGCTGAACTGAGTAAAGGACTGAAGAGTAGCCTTTTTAGTGCAGGAAATGCGGAGGTGGAAGTGTGCGGTCTGCGGGGTATCTTGAGTCAAGTCTGGGAGCCCTGGGGCGGGGGAGTGGGGCTGCTGGGGGCCATTGGAAACTGACAACCAAGTTACGTAGAGATTTGCTGGTTTCCACTTATTAGGATCAACCTATAGGTAAAGCAGAAAGTAGAGATTGTAGACCGTGACGATGTACAGATAGTGGTTCCCACGCACGACAGGAGCTGATGTGGAAGGAAGGTGGAGAGGTTAGGGGGGGAGAAGGGAATCAGTAGCTTGATCGAACAGAGAGAGAGAGACCCGGGTCAAGTTGCTCAAGCAAGAAATAGAGGATTCTTGTGTGTTTATTTTTTTGAATTAAAAAAATACACAGAGTTCAACATTTGAAATTACAGAAAGATTTACACTAAAAAGTCTACGTTTGTATAAAAAAAATAAAAAATATATATAGTAATAAAAACTGAAAGTAATGGTAGAGGGATATTTATTCAAAGAAAATATGTTTGTTGTAAAAGAATAAATGATCCAAAGAACATTAAAAAAAAAAAAAGAAAATCAACTATACTTCTATGAAAACTAAACTAAACTAAAAAAAAAAAAGTCTCCGTTTGACCCTTGTCTATCAGCCGTCTCTCTTTCTGTAGCCAGTGTTATCATTTCCCAAGAAGTCATTCCAAACATACAAGCACACACATAGATTTTCTTTTATTTTTTTCTTCCACAAACAGTAGCAAACTCTATGTGCTGTTCTACGCCTTTTCTTTTCACTTAAAAACAGATCTTGATGATTATTTCACATCAGTTAGTAATACAGACGCCTGGGTTGTTTATTATTACAGACAACGTGCAGGAATTGGCCGTGTACACAGGCTATTTGCACGGGTGGGAGCATCTTTAGATTTGTTCCTAGAAGTGGGGTTGCTGCATCGAAGGGAACGTGTTTGTAATTTTGAAAGACATTCCCAAATCCCCCTACCTGGGGGTTAGAAAAGGAACTTTTCTATAATTTAAATTTATATCAATTTAAATTTCATATAATTTCAAGTCATAAAGATAACAAGACAATGACATATATGTATGAAACTAATAAAACCTGGGAGGAGACAAAGAAGTAAAAGGAGGTGCCAGGGAAAACATGTGAACTACACTGATTATATTTAGTGATGGGGATTTAGTACCTAATGTTTAGCATTCATAAATGTTAAGAAGTTCAAGGTGGTTACCTCTGGGACGAGGGTGGAAAACCTTTTGTTTTTATTTTCTATTCTATGTGCTTCAAAAATGAGTAAGCCAGGGGCTTCCCTGGTGGCGCAGTGGTTGAGGGTCCGCCTGCCGATGC